TTACAGAAATATCAGATTTGCAGAGTGGAGGTTCATTTCATGAATCAATTATTACAAATAAACATCAACTTATAATATATTATCAGATAAATTAAATAAATCCATGTTAAATAATACCTTAATACATAATATCACAACCACAGCAACATTTACAATAGCAGAATTTGGGAATTATAATAATTTTCTTGAAATGTGTATTTTTTTTTATGTTGATAGTGATATTTATGGAAGTTTGACAGGTTCAACGATGTTTTTAAATCAGCGAGGTTTTGGAGATGTAGAAATAAATAGTTCTTCAATTTTCCAAATTATTAAATGGTATTAAATCATAATACTACACTATTAAGTAATTTACAGGCATTAGGTTTTTACCTTCTTGTTCATCTATTTAGATATTACAGGATCAGATGCTCGTTATGTCTTACAATCAGATGGATTAAGTGGATTACTAACAGGAAATACAAACACAATTAATTCAGTAATTACTATCAAAGATTCACAGGATACGTCATTAGGTGAAAAGTTAGATAAAATAGATACTAACGCTCAATCAGTAGCCAGTGCTACTAATTTTAGTGTTGTTACAACTTTACATAGCGGTTTGAATATGCTTACTACTGGCAGTAAAAAATGCACTAAATGTAGCACTACACCTTCACCTAATGTTGGATTACAGATGACATTTCAAATGTTTAATCGTGCATTTAATATTCATGGGGGTTGTAGAATGTGGATGAATAGCTCAGGAGGTCAATGAGACACTCAAATAGGAGACACTCAAGGCTATAAGTCTTAATAGTGGCTCATATTTAGATTGTTATGCAAATTGTTCAATACGAAGATATACCTGATGCAATAGAAGGTATATTTATGGCACATATAATAATTTTGTTGCTGTTAGCGTTGGCGATGTTAGTAATTCAAGCAACCAGCATGTGATGTGTGATGGATTGGCTAAGAAAACGATTTTCAGTAAAAGTACTGATGTGTTAAGTAATATTTGGAGCAACGGGAATTTAACTGCTACTGGTGATGTGCAGTTTAGTGGAACTGATAAGAAATATTGATTTCATGAATAATGCAATAATTGAATTTTCATTATTCTGCTTGGAGTAGAAAACATAGTTTTTTCTACAAGCGATTTATTGATGCTTCTGTTGGTGCTAGTGCGTATATGTTCATTGATTAGAATGTCAGAGCACCTTTGCTACTGATAGTATTCAAACATATAGCGGGAGTGACATTAATACTAACAATAGTCATTTGAATGTTAATACAGCTCATAACATTATTATGGGTGATGTTGAAGTATTATATATTGAAATTCCCGCAGTTTTTAAAAGAATGAATGGTACAAATGTTGATTTAAAACAAAAAAGGTGCTTCATTCTTTTGATGTTGGTGTGTCTTCTGATGTTGATATCCGCCGACAGTGCTCGGCGTGTCGGACACCTAAGAGAGGATAGAGGATAACCCCCCTCCTAACCCCCCCTCCCCCCGCCCAACGTCTGATACGTAGGGTACAGGGGGGGGTTCCCCACGTACCGTGCGGTACTTTGATGACGTTCCACTAAACGCACCTTTGCTTGCTTTTTGTAAAATTTATAACGTGACCGACCAACATAACAATCTGTAAAATTTACATCTCTACAAACAATTTTAAAAAATGAGTATTAGAATAGTCCATTACTTGTTTGGGCATTATATAAGATTATGTAAGATTTAGTATGTAAATATCATTTATCAGTTATTTAAAAAAAAAAAAAAAAAAAAAAAAAAAAAAACTTTAAAAAAATAATATATAACATGTCATTAACATTTTTAGACATCATGTTAATATAAAGGAACGCATAAGGAGCAAGACTGTCTACCGCAAGCTGGATCGTCCGCATGATCATCCACCACTATCAAAATACTGTGAAGTTTCTTCATTTTATTATTGTTCATATACTGAAATGTTTTTCTTGTGTCTTAATAATATTTTATAATTCTTCAGGATGGTATTCATCAAAATGTAATTTCTCAGTTTCATCATTAGCTTTCGTTTATTCTCTTTTGTATCTTATTACTTCAACAAATGTAAGATCGTTGTGTACACTTGGACTAAATATAAAGACACGACTAAAACAATCTGTATACATTCAAAATAAGGTTTTAACAAAGTACTTATTTTCCACCGGTCGAACTCGCAACAATAATACTACGAAAGGGAGTGCTTGGAACGTGCGGGTAGTTAGATTGTTTATATTCATATTCAGTGATGTTGATTGGTTTAACTACTGGAACATCAGGCAAAATACAATAATATTATAAATACTTAAAATAGCAAAAATATCTATTAGTTCATGGAACATCGTTTTTTATGAGTGGTGGAGAATAACATAAAGGAACAGGCTTTCCATTGCTTCAATCATAAGCATTGAAGATAATTAGATTGAACCCCGCTTGTGTGTGCAGTGTGAAGAAGCCCCATTGCTGAGCCCCGAGAATTCTAACACGCATGAAATGATAAGATTAATGATTTAATATTTATCTTACTAGTTCTATGAATCGAAGTTATTCTGGTTATTGTTCAATAGAAATAATTAAGTTAGGAATGCAGTATATCAAACAAAACATATACTAAAATAAATGGGAAAAAAGGAAAACACAAATATTAAGTTATTGTTAAGTGTTTCTTCAACAGATGAAGGTAGTGCAGAAGTTGTTAATAAAACAGCAGTTATTGAGCTTGCTTTTCCCATGTGTAAAAATATGTTAGAGACGAAGAATGAACTAGAAATATTAAAAGAAAGGAAATTGTACATGTTCTTGTGCGCCAAATGGGTTTTAAGATAAGTAAAACTGATTATAAGAAGTGAATATGGATAAAACTAAGGACAGCATCAACCTTGAAACTGATGAACATAATATTGCTATACGCTTTGGTCGCGGGGTTATGGCTTCTGATAATTGTGAAAACGAAACACAGGACAATATACGAGAAATGATGAACAATTAGTACTGAAAGAGTAGTTTTAACATAATTGAACTTTATAAATATAGTAATGTCTGAAAATGAATTCATGACGTAATGAAGAAGATAACATTACTAGAACAACTCTCAGAACTATCAGACTATTGATGAAAAACCTTAAACCAGTTGAACGAAAACAACAAAGCAATGAGAAGAAGAAAAAAAGGAGAAAACAAATGAGAAGAAAGTCATAGGCAGACCTACCGGTAGTTATGAAACAAAACTAAGGAAATACTGTGATATTTTAAACAGTGAAAAATCAAGACTCCAAAACAACAAACACTCGACTATTATAAAATTTCAAGAAAATGATGATGGAGTATATGTATTATTTGAATAATTAATATCTAAGTAATTCTAATAATATGAATTTATGAGAATTATTCAGAATACCTACACAGAATACCTAGTGATTTAATAATTGAAATCTTGACGAGTTTGACGGATTAAATATTTACAGAGCTTGTGTTGGATTAACATGGCTTGTGGTTGGATGAACATGCCTTGTTTTTTGGATTTCCATGGCTTGTTTTTTGGAGTAACATGGCTTGTGTTTTGGATTATCATGGCTTGATTTTTTGGATTTACATGGCTTGTTTTTGGATTAACATGGATTGTTTTTTGGAGTAACATGGATTGATTTTGGATTAACATACTTGTTTTTTTGGAGTAGCATGGCTTGTTGTTTGGATTAACATGGCTTGTTTTTGGATTAACATGGCTTGTTGATTGGATTAACATGGCTTGTTTTTTGGATTTACTGCAGGCTTAAATTCTCAAGAATTCTGCATTTGTTTGATTAAGTTCATAACCATACTATGATTATAACATGTATACCCTTATATGGTATAATTATCATATACTTAGCGTTTGTAAAGATTGTATTATTTGATTTTCTTAATTTGCTTAATAACTTAAAATGACTTAAACAAATGATAACTTAATATATTAAGTTTAAATGAAGGGTGATGAAACCAATAAAGACATTAACACAAAATGCTATGATTGTTGCCACTTCAAAATACAAAATATGGAATTATACAAATTGAATTTACCTAATGGAATAGTTAATCATATTGTTGATTATGATCTGCTTTGGGTAAAGAAAATGAATGTAAGGATTGTAGGATATGGAACTAAATCAACAAACAATTGGGAATCAGTTGGACATTAAACGGTTGTGTAATACACACATTGAAGGCGACATCTTAACACCATACGATTATGTCAAACAGTTTCTAAGAATTAGTGAGAACATGTATGATACTATTGATAATGTAATATGGTTTTAATACAAACATATAGAACATTTTACAGAACATATAAAAATGTTTATTGCAAGTAAACAGTTTAACATCAGAAATACAGTGAGAGATACCAATATCGTTTTAAAAATGCTGTATGAAAGAAGTAAGGGATATGATATGAACAAATGCGTGTTCACCAATTATTTGTTTTATCCTGAACTAGAATTATAATCAACATATAATAAGAACATGTAGAATCTTATATGTTGTATTTGTTTGATACGTATCGTTTGTAACGATTGAATTATTGTATGTTCTTGATTTGCTTATCTCTTTCAAAGTGTGTTGATTGAACTTGGTATGGTTCTTCAGTTGTTTCGTGCTTTGACTGTTTGATTTTGTTTTGTTTGATGCTGTAATGTTTCATGTTGTTGGTATGTTGCTTTGTTTTGTGTTGATGTGTGTTTTTGAGTTGAGTGTCTTTGACGGCTTTGAGTCTTGAGTTTGCTGTTTTGTTGGTATGCTTGAATGATTTGCTAAATGTTGTATGCTGTGATTAAATGTTTTTGTTGGTTGTTCTTATTTATTTTGTTGTGTTGTTGTTCTGATTTGTGTTTGCTGTTTGTTGTGCTGTATGATAGAGAGACAAAAAGTAAATGGATAATTCTTTGAATTCTCCTTCTACGTACCATTTCCCACCCCCCCCCCTTTTTCCGAGCCCCGCCTTGCCGCTTGTTTCAAAGAAGGTAGGAGCCCACCTCGCTGGAGCTGAACGCTTCGAAGCCGAGAGAGCAAATGAGGGTCGATTCATATGTGTCTTTTTTGGTGGCTTCCCGATTCCCTAATGGGAACCCCACGTTGACCGAACTTTGATCAACTCACTGAACCGAGTGAACAGAACTGCAAGAAATGGGTCTAGTCTTTCTTTCAGAGGCCGCAAAAGAGCCGGGTAAAAGGCAGACTTTGAAATGGGTGCATCCTTTTTGCCCGAGCTTGGGCCCTGTTCCCCCCAAGCTGTCAACCGCCAGGGGTTGGGTTCAGCTGACACCCTCAATTGCCCTCTGCTTGAACTCTTGCGTCCTCGAACACGTAGCATCACCTGCCAATTGACTCAGTTTCATTTGGCCCGGCCCAACAAGTGTTCCAAAGGCAAAGAAAGCGATAAGGGGACCCCATGGGACCCCTGTGCTGGATGTCATGATCTCCGCCCGGCAAGCCGCAATTTTGTTCCATATGACCTCATGACCTCCTCCAGGCCACCCAAAGAGTCCGGCTTGGCGTGTCCGTTCCCAGCGCCCAAAACCCCGAGGCTGAGGCTTCGATTTGCCCATTGATTCAAATCGAAACGACCTTTGCTTCAAACGCAAATTCGCCAACTGGGCGAGGTTTGGGCTCACTTTTAAGGAACTGAGGGTCCTTCTCCCCCCCGCAAGGGTCTCTAAATTTGATGCTGGGACCCCTGGAAATGTGCTCGTTGGGTTTTGGTGCAATCCACGAAAAGCGCACACGTTTTGCAAAAACGGAAACGTGAAAGGCAAATGGCCAGAATGGCAAGTCAAGTCTTTCAACAAAGAACCAAATTGAAGCTGTGGACATGATGGTTTTGGTTTGGTGTTGTCCAAGCTCTGCTTCCGGTGTTTGAAGGACTCAAGGCCCAGTAGCTGGCCCGCGCTTTTGCGTGCCTCCCTCTGCCCGCACGAGCTGAGAACGCACGCGCGCGGTGAGAAGCTTGGGAGCTGTGTGGCGCCCAAAGATCTATCCAGAGGGGCTGATCAAAGGGCTCTGAGAACGTGTCTGAAAGGCGGGCCCTGACCAGGCTTTCGTCATGTTCTTCCATGTTCTCCGAGTCAGGCTGCAAAAAGGTCAAGTCGAAAAGCAAACTGGAGGGCCTGAAATGGGGTGCCTATGAAAAGAAACAGGTGAATACCTGGACCTTCCGTGGGGGCGTTGGCCATCTCGTCGGCGTGAAAACTTGCTAGGGTGAATAACCACTAGCGGTAATATGTGTTTGCGCCGGGCCGGGAATTGTTCGGCGGGGAGATTGCGCTTCACACCAACGTTGAACAAAAAGGCCGCAGGCAAAACTTATAACGCACAGTTGCCCCAAAAAGCAATTCGTTTTGAGCATGCAGGAAGGTCCAGGTATGGTCGGAACTTGTCTTCCATGATTGTTTTTTGGGGGACATGTCTGAAATAGGTGTACCTTGTTTTTGAGGCACCCCCCCAAAAAAAAGAAGGAACACGCAGGTTGTTGTTTTTGGTGTTCGCTTGAAACCGCTACAAAGCAAGTACCCTCAAAAAGAGGCGCACACACACACACATACAAATGACGTTACATCTGAAAGAAACGGGACCCAAAATACACTTTTGGCAAGTTTCGCAAAAGACAAATCGTGGAATACCACGCCCCCTGTCCCACAAAACTCCCCTTCAAGGCAGGGGTCTCAAAAGGGTTTCCTTTCAAGCCCCTCAAAAGCGCAAATGGCGTCAAGCATTCGGAAGGCCCAGAGCAAGAGCATGCTAATGGAAGTCCTCCGAAGCAAAACCACCCGCAGACCCACACCCCTCCATTCACCCTGGAAAAAGTTTGGGGGTCTAAACCATTGCTATTTGAGGCCTGCCTCTTCTGCACCTGAGGCCATCGCTAGATTCTCATGCACCGCCCGCCTCTTCTCCTCGTTGCGGCGGCACAAACAGGTCCGGTTGTGCAACCTAATCTGGGCAGCCTCCAAGAGAACAAAGAAATTAAATTCTATCCTAAGCTCCTTTGCAATCCCGTCCATAAGCTCATCTTTAAACCCATCTGAACAGGACAAACAACTGGCTGAACTTGTTCAGAAGGAGACGCGCGCGTTGAAACCCGCCCGAAACGGAGAACACCACACAAGTCTAAGACCATCCAAAGAGGAGAAGCACAAGTTGAGAACCATCCAGAGAGGAGAACAAACAACTTAAACACCCTCCAACGAGAAGAACAACAGTTGAATACCTTCCAAGGAGAGTTTGGGGAAATCAAGGCTTGGAAACCACTCCGGATACTATGCTCCTGCTGGAAGAACTCCACCTTTGATCCCCAGGATGCATTTTCCAGCCCTCGCGACTCCCAGCTGTCACAAAGCAGGCACTGGACAAACCAGTTGAGGCCGTGGGGGGGGGTGGTGGTTGCTAAGCAGTTTGAACTTTAGCGGCGAGGTTTCGGTGCAGTGCAACTAGGAACTCCTCAGTTTCAGTCAGGCGCAACTCCTTTCCCCAAGGTTGGGCTTTTCTCCCAAAGCAACCAAAAGGCGCCCAAACTCTATTTATTGGCTCTGGGTTGAACGTACCGATCTTGGGCGCATTCGCTTCAGCGATGAGCGCGCGGCCTGTCTGGGTCACTCCTGGTGAAACGATTCTTGTGGCTGTGGCTCTGCCAAACGTGATGACATGGCATTGTCAGTACAAGGTCAAGCCCGTTGTTGCTGCTGCCGGAACACCGTCAGCTTGTGCCCGTCCTTCTGAAAAGCCGCTCAAAGCTCTAATCGCGCACGTGCTTGTGTGCCACCAGCACATGAGCGGCATTCGCCTTTGGAATGTCTGTGGGTGAAATTCTGTCCTCAGCCTTGCGGTTGTCTGCTCCGTCTGCTATTGGTAGCTCTACCAGGGTCAAACGTAACAAACGAGTCTCTGGGTTGCCTCTTGTCTGCTCCGAAGCATGATGTGCGACAACTGCGCGGACGTTTTCGCCGGGACTTACGCTCCAGCGTTGTTCTCAAAATGGCGCAATGTCCCAGTGACCTTGCCAAGCAACACCGTCTTCCGCGACGTTGTAGTCCATGGCTCCAGAAACACTCACAATCGGCAGCCGGGAACCAATGCGGAAAAAGCAAACCCTGGCCAGCATATGCATGGGACCAGACTCTGTGTTGAAGCAGCAACTAGAGTGCCATTGCGTCTTCTCAGGTCCTTTGTTTTTTTGGGGATGAAACCTGGGTAACCTGGGTAGGATCCGGACAGCCCAGACTGAACCCTGTGAAATATTCTTACATGTGGTGGCTGGGAAGCGACAGAAAGTCAGGGCAGCGTCCAATGAGTTGGGCTCGTGTGAAGGAAAAGGGGTTCGGAATTGAAGTATCGCTTGACACTGACAGGCATCTCCGACATGTTTCACATTCTCCCACTTCTCCCTCTTCTTCTGCCTTTCTTGTGCCCTATCATTGGCGAGCTGGCGCACGTGGGCGCCGGAGCAAACATGCAAGCACTGCAAGCAGAAGCAGAGGCTTTCTTGCGTGCAAGCCCTGGCCAAGTTCTACAGCACCGAAGAGCCCCCAATAGTTGACTGAGGATTGGCATGTAAAGCGTCAGGGCAATTCTTCTGCCAGCACACTAAATTGCCATAACTCATAACTGAGCATTTGCTGCAGGCAGGGCTCAACAAGGCGCGTCATCTGCAAAGTGGCTACTCACAGCGGAAAGCTGCGCGGCACTTGCTTTTGAAGGTGGCGCTCAGCTACTGTGGCGCTCATGCGCTCAAGCATTCACGTGCAGAGACAAGCAAAGCCGTGGCCACTGTTGGACTCGTCCACTGGATAGAACCAAAGAATATCCACTTTGCTTGCGCCGCAGCTGCAAGGGGAGTGTCAGCGGTCAACTCGTTGCTTTTGACAGCCGCTGGTTGAATCAGCAGATAGCTGCTAGCTGCGTCTGCGACGACTCCCTCGAGCATTGCGTGACTAAAAGAGGTGAGACTACATGACTCAGTCTCATATGAGCGTGTAACTGCATATCAAGCAAGCGCACGAGGAGATGGACAGCTGTGACTTTGAATCGGCATGGCTCCAAATAAGCGTAACCTCCCTGCCAGGCCAAAAAAGCCGGCAAACTGCAAGGCTGCTTCAAGCCCAGTGAAGCCCCGCCTTCTGGCAACCTGCAAGCCAAGATGGCCCCATCTGCAAGAGCATGCATTGGACTTACTGGGAAATAGGTGGAGACTCACGCTCGAGCTAGTTTCTACCGAGCCAACGCGGCCTTTGCTCTGTGATTCTGCGGGCTCCCAAATGTACCCGCATAACTCAGTCTGATATGAGCGTGTAACTGCAGATTAAGCAAGCGCCAAGGAGATAGACCGCTGTGACTTGGAATCGGCATGGCTCCAAATAAGCGTAACCTCTGAGCAAGGCCAAAGAAGCCGGCAAACTGCAAGGCTGCTTCAAGCCCAGTGAAGCCCCGCCTTCTGGCAACCTGCAAGCCAAGATGGCCCCATCTGCAAGAGCAGGCATGGGACTTGCCGAAAAATGGATGCCTGCTGACACTCGAGCTGAGTCCACCCAGCAAGTCCAATGGACAAGTTAAACGAGCACGTTTGATAAAAGTGCTGCCTTTACTGGGAGCCCTAGCATGAGTAAACGAAGGGTGTTTGTTCACGCTGTTTTCACGAGTTTCACGGTCTTTCACAGGTTTCTCACTCACCTTTCACCGTGTTGAAATCCAGCCCCTTGACAAAGTGCTGGTTAAGCGGGCACTTTGCGAAAGCGGCAGATAAACGAGCACCTGAAAGCGCTGGGCCGGATGGGCAAAAGTTCGACCAAGTTTCTAACGAGCCAACCTGGCCTTTGCTCTGTGATTCTGCGGGCTCCCAAATGCGCACGCACTTGGCATGGAGCAACCGCATGGCTCAGGCTGATATGAGCTTGCAACTGCAAATAATGCAAGCGCACACGGAGATGGATGGCTGTGACCTGGAATCGGCATGGCTCCAAATAAGCGTAACCTCATCGCTGCTCCAGTGAAGCCCCGCCTCTTTGCAACCTGCAAGCCAAGATAGGCCCATCTGCAAGAGCCGACATTGGACTTGCCGGGCAATGGATGCTTTCTCGCTTGAGCTAGTTTCTACCGAGCCAACGTGGCCTTTGCTTTGTGATTCTACGGGCTCCCAAATGCGCACGCAAGTGGCATGGAACAACCACATGGCTCAGGCTGATATGAGCTTGCAACTGCAAATAACGCAAGCGCACATGGAGATGGATGGCTGTGACTTGGAATCGGCATGGCTCCAAATGAGCGGAACCTCCCTGCCAGGCCAAAAAAGCCCTCAAACTGCAAGGCTGCTTCAAGCCCAGTGAAGCCCCGCCTTCTGGCAACCTGCAAGCGAAGATTGCCCCATCTGCAAGAGCAGGCATGGGACTTGCAGGAAAATAAATGTCTACTGACACTTGAGCGGTGCCCAGATGCTGCTAACAGCCAGTTTCGCGCTCGCGGGCCCCCAAGTTTCTTTGAAACAGCGTGCCCCGAGCATGGAACTTGCCAAGTAGACACAACCGGCAGGCCTTTTGAAGAGAGGAAAGCTCCAGTGAACGTCACACGTACTCTTGAGAAGAAGCCTGCAGTCTTCCAACAAGGTCAGAAAAGAATCAGAAACACCATTCTTATCACGATGGCACTGCACTGGTGGCAAACTCCGTTGTCACGTAGCCCAGTCTCCAGTCTGTGAGTGAGAGAGCACGGTCTGCTTGGTGATCGACACATCACCTTTTGGATACTCCATGTAGATTCCCGAAAAGATGCGATTCAGGTGAATAACAGGAGTTACTTGTCAAAAGTCACAAACATTGGGGAGACTAACTGTCCGTCGCCGGTGACGAGCGCTCGCACCAGTGCAACAGGTAGCGGCACACGTTGGTCCTCACAAGCGTAATTCGTGCGTGTGCAAGACAAAAAGCATGGTAGCTCGCGTTTCACCACTTGGCTGTGAACATCAGCTGTCTGAGACTACCTGCTGCTGTCATACAGCTTTCTGTCATGCAGCTTGTCATCTGTGACTCACGTCCGCTTTTGCTTGAAACGACGGCTCAACTCATTGCCCGGGAACTGAAAACTTGCTCTTGCTTTGCGAGCAAAACTAAGCCACAAACGGCAAAGGAGAAAGTGGACATTGACACCAACGCATTGTCGACCGCAAGGCTGCTCGTTGACATTGGGCAGTGTGACTGAAACAAGCAAGCCGGAAAAAATCGAACAGCGTGTGCTTTGCCTTGCAGCTTGCCAGTGGCAAAAGGTAGTGAACTGAGCCTGGATGACGCCATTGAAGCTATGCGATGTTGAGCAACCTCGTTTGCGTGCAAGCTTCCAATTGAGCTGTGCAATGCAACAACCTTCTCAGCAGCTGCCATCACTAAAGCATAGCGCATGACTGCTTGGAGTGTTCGTAAATATGACTCGGTATCTGAACTAGGCAACGCCGAGCGTGCAACTATTGACGAATCTCCCGCTGCTGGCAGCGTGATTCCACGGATTTGCGGCAATGCGCTGTCAGTAAGTCGCACCAAGCCCACTTGACATTCCACGTTATGCTGACGTGGCCTCAACACATCTTGCAATAGCGGCCTCCCGACAAACTCCAGCTGCAACCACTGCTAGCGAAAGTTGCGGGGCCAAGCAACTCCCAATGCAAAATCCGTGACTATGGAGATGCAAAGCATCCTGCCCGAGAATGCCAACATAGCCCAACACACCTAAGTCCCACGAAGCCCGTTTCAAGACAATCACTTCATGGCCTGGTGCGCGAAGGCGAGACTGCCAACTCAGGGAGGAGCTTTGGTAGGAGGCGCTGACGTACACAGGGCAAACAAAACGAAACCAGCCAGTGCTGGAGTCAGAGAGCGGACAGCTGCACGAAGCACTCAACAGAATCTTTGAGCTA